ATTGATGTGAAAGAATTTTTGTGTTTAGCACTCGGGCAAAATAGCTGCTTAGCTCAAGCAACATCTTTGACAGCATTCGTTGGTTTGAGATAATCAGTTCTTTTGCCCAAGTGCCAGAACACTTGCTCAATTTGGTGAATACCTCTATAGAAATACAGGACCAGCTTTTAAAATCTGTACATGCGTAACAAAGTGAGGTAAAAAAAACGTTAAAAGTAAAAGTAAGCAAGTACAAAAGTGGAAAAAACTATAACGGTAGTGTTATCGATAACTATAAAAATACCGATAACAAATCCAATATCAATAACAATAACTATAAAAATCCAAAACTGTAAAGCTAAAAAATAAATGATTTATCGATTCTTCACTGTTATCGTTATTGTTTTTATCGATACTTTTTGTTATCGCTTTCATTCTCACCGCATAGTATTATCGAATTTTACTAATCGGTGCAGAGTTTACTCTCAATTTCTTCCAAATATAATAAAATCGAAAACAATACCGATAACGATACTGTTAAGGATTCATCGATACTTTTTTGTTGTAATTGTTATCGATATATTTTGTTATCGCTCATATTCTTAACGCTATTTATTTCACTATTCAAATTTACTTATCCAATATAGAATTTACTATCTGTTACTTCCAAATGTTTCTAATAATATCGATAACGATAACAAATCCAATATGGATACCAGTACCGAGAACGATAACAGAAATATACAACTGTAAAAATAATCAATGAATTACAATAACTTATCGATATTTTATTGTTATCGTTATCATTGTTATCGATACTTTTTGTTATTGCTATTACAATACCGATAACAATAAACAGAAAGAGACAACTGTAGAAGTAATAATCAATAAATTACAATACTTTCTCGATATATTATTGTTATCGATATGTTTTGTTATCGGGCATTATTTTGGCTGCTATCTTTTGTATCCTATACAATTTGGTCGCATTTTACTAATGAGCTGCAGCGTTCAATATCTGTTTCTTCCAAAGCCATTTATGTATGTAAATATATAAATATGTAGATGAGCAACCTTTTTCACATCAAAGTGGCCTCAGTGCTTGTTTCATATATGTACATATATTACCTGTGTTGTAGCATTGTGCTTTCCCTGCAATCGCTCAGAATCCTTACCCAGCGCCAATTCGATGGCTTTATTATAGAAATCCGGAATACCAATGATTGTGGCGTATTCTTTGTCCAATTGCTTACCAATTATGCGTTCTTCAGCCTTGAATATTATTTTAACAATTTATTATAATAAAAAGCCTTAGAAAAATTATTTAATAACTTACCTTGCGCACACTGGGCAACACCCATGGTTTACCGTTGTCATCACGATACGCGCCTACACCCAAGTTGATTTTTTTCGGATTTGTATCGCGCTTGAACGCCTCGGTTACACCCAAAATCGCATCAGGTGGTCCCATTTGTACATTGGCGAACCATGATCTACAGCAGAGAGAAAAAGTGTAATTTTCTTTATTAGGTAATTCTGAATGTTAGTAAAAAAACGGTTATAAAAATCATGAATCTTATTTTAGCTTAGGTTAGTCTGACAGCTTCGGGGAGACCATTAAGTTCTATAGCATCGCTAGAAAGAGGGCAACCAAAGCATACAGCTTATATCTGGAAACCAGGATCAAAAGTGGAACAATTTGTCATAACCTATTGTGACAGTGCTTCCAGATTCTGCAAAAATCCTACTCAAAGAACACTTTTCCCTAGATTACAAAGGGCTGGTGGACACGCAAAGAGGATGTGCTGCAAAGTCTCCACGTTCGTTCCGTTTCTCCTGCCACTTTTTTTCACTGGTCAGAGCCAACTTAAAGGCATGTGAAGCCTAACACTGTCCTCTTAGTACACTCGCTACGTGCGTAGTAGCCTGGTGTCCTCCCCCTTTTGAGGGAATAATAAACTTTGTGAGCTTGCTATCGTACATTCGGCAAATAATCCGACACACCCTGCAGCTATGGGTTTTGTTTCACAATTTCTCTTCATGTCTAGTTTTCTTGCTCCCACCGTTTAATTGCCTGTAGAGAGATCCGCACATTTTTATTGGCACAGTTTCCGAATGGACGCCAACTTTAGTAGATTTCTCGGTCACATCGTTGCCATTAACTGTCCTGCTGTCTTGTAATTGCTTCTTTAATTTAATTTTCTTACATTTTCTAGATTTTATTGCTTTTAAAAGAAAACTATTTTTTTATTTCATTTAATTTTTAGAAACTTATTTTATTTTATTTTTTATCTAACTTTCTTTTAATTTTTAACCGACTTCCAACAAAGGAGGAGGTTATCAGTTCGTCGGAATATTTTTTTTTTTTTGTATGTTACCGCATAACTTTGGACCACGTCAACCGATTTCGATAATTTAATTTTAATTTTTGCATCTGGTTAAGATCCGATCAGCGGATCATGAGATATATATATATATATTTTTTTATATGAGAGTTGAAGTCGGTTTTTTTTTTGCTAAAAATTATTTGTTAGATTTTATTCTTTTAATAAGATTTTTTTTTAATTTAATTTAGTTTTTAAAATTTTACTGTTTTTATTTAATTTTCTTTTAGGGTTTGAAAAAAAATGTACATAAATATAGTTTTTATTTAAATTCATTTTTAGAAAATTTATTACTAAAAGACGTTAGCAGATCTTTTTT